TTAGCTTTCCAATGCCACATGTTTTACTAACGAATGGTCTGTCTACCTTGTGAGAGGAAGCTGCCAAGAAGATGAATGAGTGTCGGTCGACGGCACAGCCTTAGTTTTGATCGACGGCACAGCCTTAGTTTTGATCGACGGCTCAGCCTTAGTGCCGATCAACAGTGATTCCAGAAGACAAGCCCAAATTATTTCATGACCGACTTAAGCCCAAAAGCGAACACAAATTACCAAGATACCTCTGAATGACTTGAACCTTATTTATGTGTGTTTTAAGCCATTATTGATGGTAAGATTTAAATCTATTCATTGTTCTTAGTTCTTAGAGAGAAGATCCATTCTCTTTCAGAGATTGATTGCAACTCTTTTGGTGTTATCTTTTATTTCTATTATATTATATTATTTAGACTATGATTTGTGTTCTTGCTTCTATGTCTGAGTAATCACCTTGTTAGGTTTAGGAATTTCATGAGCTTAATTTCAAACTGATAATCTATTAGGATTGCTAGAACACCTATAGATCTCTACACCAGGGTGATTTGTAATACTAGGATCTGGAACAGTGAAAATAGCACGACAGTGTGACTAATTGTTTGAACCTAGAATCATTGGACAATTGAGAGGCACGAAAGTGCAACCAATTAGATAACTAGGCGCAAACGATAGTTGCTCGCGAAACACATCATTTATAAGCTTCATGAATGCTTCTGGTGCGTTCGTCAAACCAAATGACATCACTACAAATTCATAATGACCATACCATGTACGGAAGGCCGTTTTCTGCATATTCCCATCAGATATTGAAATCTGGTGGTATCCTGACGCCAAGTCAATCTTAGAGAACCATGAAGTTCCCTGCAACTGGTCCAACAACTCGTCGATAACCAGAAGCGGATACTTATTCTTGATGGCCACCTTGTTCAAAACTTTTGTAGTCGATACAAAGTCTGAAACTCCCATCTTTATTCTTCACAAACAGTACTGGTGTTCCCCAGGGTGAAGTACTCGGCCTGATAAAACCCTTCACTGAGAGTGCCATCTATTCCGGTGCTAGACATTAAAGAGCTTGTGAAATTAGTGATGTTCCTGGTTCCACCTCAATCGTAAGAACGTCACTTCTAGCTGGAGGTGGCCCTTTTAATGCCTCAAAATCATGCTGACCATCAAAATGGTCGCCAAAAATCCTTCGGCTCCTCTTTCGAGTAACTCCTCTGCACACAGCATGGAGATAATAAAAAAATCTTTGGTATGTCTGAATCCCCTAGAAAATGATCTTCCCTTTTGGCCTAGGGATACTAACTCTTGCCTTCGGGAAATCCAAGAGTACTTGATCTTACGTCAACCAATCCATATCGAGTATTACGTCGTAGAAACTATTTCCAAATCTGTCAAGTCTCCAAGTAAATCAACTCCTCAGAGCCTAACTACTACGTCGCGATGAATACCAAATACTCCCAAATTCTCTATGCTGGCAGTGTGAATCTGCTTAACTTTTGGTTTGAAAAATACTCCCAAATTCAATATTCCTTCTCATTCCTTTTCAATACCAAATACTCCCAAATTCAATATTCCTTCTCATTCCTTTTAATTTAAGGAATCAAAGAACAAAACTATTCCTTATCAAATCCGGGGAGGAACAATATGGAACAAATGTTCCTATTATTTTGTTCCTCTTCATTCCTTTCCTCGTTGTTCCTATTATTCCTTTGGTGGTCACCAGTCAAAACCTTAGTCTAAGTCACTCTAGGAAATTCCTGCGCCTCTGCCAAACATGCCTCCTGCTCAACAGGTTTCTCCACCAAGTCTCCCAATCTGTGATAAGTGATGACACGACACCTGTTTCGAATATCTGCTCGCATCCCATCTAGAAATTTTCTGTTTAGGTCTACCTCCAAAATTCCCCCTCCAGCGAATCTAAGAAGTCAATGAACACAACCTCATACTGTCTGATAAACATATTACCTTGGCTTACATGTTCGAAAGCATTCTTCTTTATATCCATAGCTTCCTTTGGAAAGTACTTCCTAACGAACTCCTGGATAAAATCTGGGAAGGTATGCACGTCAGTCCCATAGTGGCTCAATCGTATTCCCTCCCACCGTACTAGAGAATCTCCACGCATGTACTTCATAGTAAATGTTAACGAGAACTTCGTTGGACGCTCAATAATTTCCAACTTCCACTCCATGCTTTACTTCCAGTCATGTGCGGCTGTAGCATCATTTGTTCCACTAAAGTGTTCAATACCCATTTTCTGCATCTGACACGTCAGTCTATAAAACCTCTCATCGCAACCTGGATAACCATGGGGACGAGGTGGTGGTGGCGGTAGATCCTTGACACCATGAGAAAACTGCTCAGCTGGAACTTACTGAACTGGAACCTGAGGAAAGGGAACCTGCGGAACAGGATCATGTTGGATGGGAATCTGGTGGCCCTGCTGAGCCTGAACTCGTGGGACCTCCTGCACCTGAATCTGCAGACCTTGATGCACCTGAACCTGAGGACTCTGCTGAACTGCAGCCATCTGACGAGTAACCTCTTAGGCAGCTACCCGGGCAGCTTCATGGACAGCATGCCTGGCCGCCTCCTGAGCAATCTTCAGAACTGCCTCCTGAGTGGCCTGTCTAACTGCATCATGAACCATCTGCCTCAAGGCATCCTGATCATTCGGTGGAACCACAGCCTGAACATGCTTCTCCTCTGCCTCTCTGATAGCTCTATCGGTTTGGGCACGACTGGTGGTTCTCTTTGGCGGCATCTGAAACAAAGATAAGTCAAGAGTTGGAGAAAGCTCATGTAGTACGAATTATAGTGAGCGTGAGAGTGGATATGGAAAGGAAGAGAATGTGGGAACTGGTTTGGAACACGATGAACACCCCCACAAGAAACAGAAGAGGAAACTTTGTGAGGTGAAGTAGGTTGTAAGCCTTTCAGTTTCAGTTTTGATGTTTTTATCGTATGGGAACGTTGTGAGGTGAAATTTGTTTTTGTGTGTTGTACAACCATGTGAAACTTTATTTTTTACTGGTATAACTACGATAGGAAAACTGAGTAATATGATTGTAAATTCTAACATTGTTAATAAGTCATGGAAGTAATAAGAGAGTGATTTATTATTAATGTTTATGATAATTATGATCTAATCAGAATTATTAAAATTCCATCTCATTACTTGTTAGCAATCATTTAGAAAATACATTGCGTTCTCATAGCTTTTTCGTTAATACCCACCTGGTTACATTTGAAAATTTGCTAATGGCACGAAATCAAGTTTATGTGTACATGATCGTATGAGAAATGAACCAAGGAAACATAATTTAATTGGTATAACTATAAAATCAGTCATTCAAGTGGAGTATAACTAAGATAAATGGAAATAATTAAAAAGTACAACTTTGATGTTTTCTGTAAAACTTAAAACTTGGTGAAACTTCTACTACAAAAATTCTTGGATAAAATTTTGAATTTCTAGTTTCCCTCTTCCCGCCCATATTTTCAATTTTCTAATTTCCCTCTTCCCAATTAGCTAAATCCCCAAAGTCGTTTAATCGAACTATTGAAGACATTTTTTTTAGGTTTTCCCCATTCGCTATCTTCTCCTTTCTCTCTCTTTGAATTCCCTCTCTCTTCCCTAATTTATATCTCTCCCAACCGCTGAACTCCACCCAACCCCGATGTTCGCTTCATCTTCCTCGACCCGTGGTTGGAGACGAGTACGAATTCCGGAAGACCTAGTAAGTGTTGGTGCGGGGTGAGCACCATCGAGCTTCTCCAGAAGCAAGCAAAACTCATAAAGAAGCAAGCAAAACTCATATCGCCGATATTATCGGTGTCTATGCGGCTTCACAAAGGGTACATCCGTTTAGCTTTAGTTATTGAAGGCTTACTCGTTCTTCTTTTAATTGGTACGTTTAATCTATTGTAGCTTGAGAACGACAATCACGTCTTCAAATGGGTTGATGAAGCTTTCACCATGAGATACAAAAATTGGACTACCACGTTCGAATGCTAGAAGAAGAAGTTCAAATTATCAAAGTAAGAATAAGGAGTGAAGGTGAACTTAGTGAAGGTCTGAAAATATTGCCCAAGATAAAGATAACAGGAGGTTGTCTTGTTCTTACTGTCGTTTTAGTTCTAGGAATTATGATGTACAAGAAGTAATTCCTAAGAGAATTCAATTACTACAGCTATGACAAAGTTGGATAACTATGTAGTTTGACATAGTTTCGCCAACATTTAAACAAAGTTTCACCATTTTTTTCGAAGTTGGAAAATTGAAAAAGTTAAAACCACAAAGTTTCACCAACGTTTGACATAGTTTCACCAACATTTAAACAAAGTTTCACCAAGTTTAAGACAAATACGAAGATGGAGAACATTGAGAACAACATGATTTACAAAAGACCTACAGCCCCATATCTCTGAACATAAGGGTCACTGCGTAGTAGAGACTGCCTGAACTCCTCAACCTCTAGCAAACGCGGATTGAACCTGAAGTCAGATAATCTACCCTCGGTCTCAAGTCATAGATCAGGAGGACCAAAATAACCTGTATAAATGAGTTTAGTAAATGTTTTACTCAACTATCACATTTAAAACTATACACATAAACTAGACTTACTCATAAATTTCCAGACCCTCCACATCTTAAGGGCCACAATCACATGTCCACGACCTCTCATGATTTCAAGACCATCACGGAAGGCATACCCATGATCGCCAGTTGCCACACATTTTATCCGACTGTCACTATTCAGAATACAAAGGTGCGTCAATTACATTATAAATAAATTTTGCTTTGATCATTTGTTACTTTCTACTTACATGATCCCTTATGTAAAACACCATCCTTGGATTTTCAGGGTCCTCGAAATGGGTTTCCGTGTTGAAGACCACTCCCACTGTATCTACCAGACAAGTGTTTCGTTTTTCTTAGTTTATCTTCATTTCATAAATCTACACATGTGAATATATTTAAAATTTAGTAACATTCATACCTATGGGATAGTTTCGGTCCCTTGGTTCATGTGAGGGATTGCATAAATGTTCTTGAACTCCATGAAAAGCCGATTTTTCAGAGGATCGATGATGTGGACTTGCGTACATAGTTTAGCAGTTAGATAGAACCGAGAGTTAGTTTTTTGGAAACCTGGAAGGGAACGGTTAACTTCTACTCGAAAGATTTTCACCCATTTTCTCTCTTTCTTCTCTAGTCCTCTAAAGCTACCATAATCCTCATAAATGGTCATCTCCATCTTGGTTCCCTACATAAATAAAAGTACAAGGATCAAGTTTTTTATTTTTCACGGTTACATGTTATTAGAAAGTTCAGAGATGATGATTTAACACGTACCTCTTCATTTGCTAGGACATAGATATATAAAGGTCCACTGCTGATAAAATAGAAATAGTAAGGGTAGATCCTGTGTATTTTGACTTTGAAATTCCAAGCCGTGATCTTGGGTTTATAACAAACTTCATAAAGCTTATTTTAGTGTGTCATCTTGTTTGTTGAGAGAGGAGATGATGAATCCTTTCTTGGCTTTTCTTTTTGGTGCTAACTTACTGTGGTGGAGTTTAAAGAGTAGAGTTTAAATGCAATGGTGATGATGACTGGGGATTGTAGACGGTGTAGTGTTGAGGGTGGCGTTTAAATGCAAGTCTAATGATTATTATAAGATACTTTTTCATGACAGACGTCATGTTCTTTTGAGGAGTCCATCAAATCACTCATAAATAGAGGAGTTAAAAAATGGAAGTTGGGGTAGTAAATGATTAATTTTATATTGCTAGTTTCTGTCATTAAATATATTCACTAAAGTATATTAAGTTTTACATAGTTTCAAATATTTATACCATCTAAATTGTTACGTTTTTCTTAGTTTCATAAATTTAGACAGTCTAATTCACTTAGTTTCACTTACTTATACGTAGTTATAAATCTTAATAAATTAAAGTTATACAAAGTTCCAAATTCAAGAGACGCGACTGTTGCAGTCAGAAAGCGTGTGAGAGAAGTTACACTTTCTCGGGGAGTCAATTAAATGAATACCTTATCAAATCACCCTTAAATAGACATGCCACTGCTTCAATCATTAATTACAAGATTTTTTTCAAACTAAATATTACCATTTTCATTTAGAGAATCTAGTTTTCTTAACATTTTACATAGTTTCATATATTTAGACAATCTAAATTACTTTTTTTTGCACTTAAATATACATAGTTATAAATCTTTATCGATTAGAGTTTTTCAAAGTTTCAAATCCAACCTATGCACCTGTTGTTGCACTGAGAAGTCGTGTCTTTTGAACTCGTGTATCTCGAGGCATCTATCAAATCACCCTTACGTGGGATAATAAATACTCAGTTTATACTTATCTCTTCACGTCAGTTGAAGTTTATACTTATATCTTCACGTCAGTTGAAGTTTATACTTATCTCCCCATTTACTTGATTAAACAAATATCTCTCCATGACGAACTTTATCTTGGCTTCTCTCCATCCTTCCATGCTTCATAAGATTCTCTTAAAGGTAGAAACTAGCCATCTCTGAGACTTCGGTAGTGCAAGAATTGCTTTCTCCGGGTTCAATCAAATTGGCTGAGAAGAACACTTCTACCGATCTGTAGATCTCTTTAACTTGAATGACTGGATTTATGAGGCTAATGCTGTTAGGACATTCAGGCTTAGGTGCTATCAATCCGGTAATCTAGAGGACATGTACATGTGAGGTATGTATGACTAATTCATCCTCCATTTAATTGATGAAGGAAGGGAAAAATCCATCTTGCTGGTGAGAGAGGATTGTAGTTGGCCAAGTATGTAGATGAAATGTTGAACTTAGCGTTTATTGTTGATGATAGATGATTGGTTCACAACTATCCTAGCTTTAATCGTAAATTTGTTGATCGGATGAATTATATGATCACGACTATGGTATACTCAGGCCATTGGGATTAAGAAAAATCTAAGGTGTTTATGTCTCTACTAGAAAGAATATATCCCAATGTCTCACATAATTGTTGGTGCTCTGCAGTAATAGAACCGGTGTTTGTAGTCTCCTTAGATGGATCTAGAACACGGTGGAGATGCGATTGTTGTTTCTGGCAGTGTGCAGCTTGGGACTTCTGCAATGATATTCACTGTACCGCTGTCCACTGGCCAATTGAAGATTAGTTGTGTGTTTATGAGTTATGGTTATCTACTTTTACTAAGTTTATATAAAATACATTTTACATAATATAATGTCTCTAGTTTTTCTCTATAAAGTAATCTTTACTTATTTTAACTTTAATAAATATATCATTAACAACACTGTCTCCATGAAAGAACATAATGCAAATGTAAAAGATACAATCAAAATTAGTGAATTTTACAAATCAAAAAGTACGACTTAATTCAATTTCGAGCACCTTTGTAACTGATACAGTCTATATTAGTCGAATTTTTATACGCTGTACAGTTACACTAATTTTGACACTTACATCAAATCGTACAAATTTTTCGAAAGTCATGAAGAAAGAGATCCGAATTTTATCGGGTTTGGATGGTCCGCGAAATAGTCTTGGTTGGGTTGTAATTATGCAAATTTCTATTGGTTTTCAAAGGAGTATCGCATAATTTTTTTTCTTTCGGGCATGAGTATCTGAGCAATTGATTCAGCCTTCCACACTCTTAACTAGGCCACACCACCATAAGTTTACACAACTAATATACTTCACATATTTCACAAAAACTTACAAATCCAAATCGTTAAAAAGTATCCCTCTTTTTTCAAGGCTCAGAAACTTTGTAAATTACTACAAAACAAGGAAGTATGGCTTTGGGATTAAACACCGCCAAGTCGTCCAGGTTTGTGTAGACCCCAGCGGCTCCCGCAACCGAATCATACAAGCAAGAATCATTTTCATCTTCCGGTGCGTCGCTCTGCACGCGCCTCACTCTTCCGGCAATCACACGGCAGACAAGCATCGCCCTCCGTTGGTCAAAGCACCTCAATGCATCATGTGCTCTTCCGCTGCTCGCTGTGGTCCTCACACCCTTAATCTCGTTGGACCCACCACCTAAACGCAGCGTTTTGGCGTGGAAGCCGTGGCGGATAATGGTGCAGACGCGGCAGCCAGGGACGTTGGAGCAGAGGGAGGTCGAACCGCGGGAGCCGAGGGAGCAAGAAACGGTGGTGCAGTGGAAACGGAGGAGCTCGTTGCCGTCCGCGGCTGATCGAGGCTCTTTTCTGGTGGAGGCATGAGCATGGGACTTGACTGCGTCGCGACAGTCTTCAAACCGTTGGATCGTGCGCTGAGTGTTGTGTACTTTTAATATCCGTTCGATCTTGTAGACTGGACTGTCCTTTCGTAACCAGCTAGATTTGAAAATGATGTCCACTATGTTTCGTCCTGAATCATCTGGCCCTAACTCCGACACTGTTATCAAAATTTAACAACATTATGTAAAAATCTATATAATTTTGCATATCCTTAAATCTACCATAAGTGGAAATAATTACAAAATCATCATATGCAATTTATTACAAAACGTGTAATATAAGGTTACCAATATAAAGTTGCATTTAAACGAAATTAATTTTTGTATATTGATTTAGTTATATTTTTCGTTTGATTTGCTTTATTAATGAGCCTCTATATCAGTGATAAGATGGGTATAGATTACATTTTTTGACGTTAAAAAAAGATAGGTATAAATTACATTTGCTTCCGTATTAGATCACAACACTAGAATCGACATTTTTAAAATATAGTTAAAAGACCGGCAAACACGTGTAAAGAAAAAAGAACCATACAATGGTAGATTAGTGATGCTAATGATGTTGTTTGTTGCCTAATATGTGGTTACCACATAAAATATTCCAATCTTAGTACCATCTATATATACTATGAATATGTTACTGTGCATACATATCCAAAATAACGACATGACATGCCAGATTTATGGCCCAAATTACGAGAAAACAAATGTAAAAGACAAATGACGAAACGTCCAAAGTAATATTTTAATGCATGTCTTTTTTGTGTGCACTATTTTAATGCATATTTTCTAAACTAAAACTTACTTATTAAAAGACAATCAAGTAAATAGTTTTATTTTTTACTCTCTTCGTTTCATATTAAATGTTGTTGAAAAGAAATTTTTCGTTTTCAAAATAAATGTTATTTTGTTTTTAATGTAATTTATTAATTTTATTATATAATTTTTTATTGATTAAAATATGATTAGATATATAGATAATTATATTTTTATATAGAAAATATACAAAATCAATTGTTTATTAAATCCGTGCGCAAAATTCTAAAATGATATTTATAATAAACAGAGGGAGTATCAAATAAATGATTTGCACTTTCTATGTCTGATTTAGAATGGCATAACGATTTAAATAGTTGCGGTAAAATTAATTATGTACTATTCGGTAACATCTATTTTACACAGAAAGAATATTACAATCTTTGCTTTAAATCACGTCAAAATGCATAGATTTGCTTACCATAATGTTTAAGCTCCGAATTATAAAGGATCAGATGTAAAGATATATTAAATTAGAAACATTAGATTGGACCTAACATTTATTTTGTAAGTTTTTAAAGCAAATACATCTTTCTACTTTATAACTAAATCTACAGTAAATTAAATACATCTTTCTACTTTATAATTAAATCTACATTCATGTTTCCAAACAATATATTTATTTTTGTATACTACTATATATGTTTCTAAGTATAAAAATACTACTATTTATGTTTCCAAACAATATTATAATTAATTTTATTGTCCAACCAATATAAAACATTAGATCTTACCCTTTTTAATAGTTTCTCACAATTTCAAATTATTTAGATAAATTAAAAAATTCGAATAATATATAAAACAACGAAAATAAACTTATTTTAAAGGTGTAAATATTTCATATCACATATACATCGGTTCAATCGGTTAATCTCGGATTTTAGTGATTTTTAAAATATGGATATTTCTAAAAAATGAAAATAGAATTATCGGATCACCGGTTTAACTTCGGTTCGGGTTGAATTTAAAAATAATGATTTAAATGCACAATCAGTTTAAATACATAAATTCTTTCAAATTACCAAAATATTTGTTTAATTATTTATGAATTTTTTTATCATAAAATATTACAAGCTTGCAAAGTTAAGACGAAAATTAAGTTTGAATTTGACCAAATCTATAAAATAAAGGTTAAGACCAAAAACTCTAGAAATTTGTATATTATTTTTAA